TGGGATTGAAAGAAATAAACTGTTCATAATGAGTAACAGTAAACACTATGGAAAAGTGAAAAATGTAATTAGAAAGCATACAAGTTTCTACACATTTATCAAGAAGCAAGAAATGCTTTTAAAATGACTGTCCTTATTTAACAAAGAAACTACGAAAGCAGCAAGGAGCAAACAGAGAAACACGAAAGGAAAATAATGAAAATTAAGTCAAATTAATTTTTAAAAGCAAATAAAAGAGAACACTAAAAATAAAAAAATCTTATTTCCAGTACAAAACTTTCATCTTTGTAGTTCTTACAAAAGATTTTACCAAATTTGAAAGAGATTAATTATCTATTTTTTTGTAGATCACCTGAGAAAATGGTAAATAAAAAAATCTAAGTAGCTCATTTGAGAAGTTACTGTTATCCTGAATCTAAGATGAGTATGTCAGCTCCTTTCCATTATGATTAAATGCAAAATTATTAAATAGATTAAAAAAATCCTCTATCATATTTCAAAATGTACATGTAATATGATAGGATTCTTCAACTCAAAGTTAGAGTTAATTCACATTAACAGACTAAAGTTATCAAAACACATTATTGTCTTAGTGGTGACACATGGATGGATAGCTAGCTAGCTAGATAGATAGGTAGATATAAGTTCAATAAAAACATTAGCTTATCAGGAAAATGCCTAGAGAGCAAGGTATAAATGAGAACTTCCTTAATTTATTAAAGGTAAAACAGTAATTTCATAGCATTACACCCAGTGGAGGAATTTTCGAAGCAGTTTCCTTATGATGAGTAAAAAGAGAGTAGTTCCCATTATTGCTCAGCACTAAGTACTATAGTGCAGACCATGGCAAGATTTGACTATTCCAATACACAGTAAGAAAGAGATACAGTTCTTGATATATTTATGATTATATCAGTATTTTTTAGGAAAAACAATGAAATTCAGATAAATTATTATCATGTATGAGACTTCATCTGTATATTGTTGATATTTTCTTGCATTTCTCCACTTCACAGCAATGATGAAAAAACAAACGAAATAATTGTTATAAGTCTATTTATCACTGTATTATATACACATGTATGTGATTGCAATCTAGGAACAAGGCTAGGATGCATAACATCTCTAGAGAGTTTTTTTCAAAAGTTTAAGTAATTTACTTTTTTTTTTTTTTTTTGCTTCTCTTTTAAGACAGATAAACTATGTTCATAAATGGGAATACTTTATCATTTATAAAACTGAAGTGATCATTTAAAACACTTCTACACTAGAGATTCATTCCAAGTGACTTCACTGGGAATTCTGCTCAGTGCTTTCATATGAAGTAACACTAACCTACCCAAATTTTCTAGCAGAATAGAAAAAAAGCAGCTCCACAGGGTCAGCATAACTTAACCCAAACTCCTCGGTGGGCCATTACAAAGAATAAAAATCATAAACCAACGTCATTACCTAAGAGGTGATTTTTAAGTCTAAAACAAAATTTTGAGCCAATTTTGTAATGTATGTCTAGATTAAATTTAGTCCACAAGTAAAGGCTTAATTTGACATCTAAGCGAAAAAGTCGTAATTATCACAATGGTATAGAATGAATACTCGAGAAATTAAACATACATTCATGATTTTAATAAAAGTGTTAGCACTAAATTCTTAACCTAAACCAACATTTTGCATAATGACAAATTGTTGAAACACTGTGGTAAATGAGACATGGAGACATCTATTCAATATTATAGATGTGCTAATCAGTGTTTTAATAGAAGAGGGAAAAATAACTATAGTCATTGGCAAAAAAATCTAAGACACATCAATATTCACAGAAAACATGTATTCATAAAAACATAAGATAAAGATATTCTCTGGAAATCCAATAGAAAGAAAATGAAAACTCAAAAGATACCATTCTAATGGAATTTTAAAAATCTACTAAGAAAAAATCTAAAAAAGAAGTGTAATAGAAAAATTATAAAATATTACTGGCACAAGTAACAAGCGATGTTTATAACCAGCTATACCAACGTAATGGATAATAAGATAATTTAAAGAAGTACTAATTTATCCAATCAAAATTCCACAAGAGGCTTTTGTAGAAGTGGATAAATTAATTCTCAAGTGTATATAAATATTCCATAGCCAAATTTGTTTGCAGGAGGATAACTGGGAGAATTTATTCTACAGCAGTAGTTGTCAAATTTGACTTATAATTATATCAGGATGATTTTTAAAAATCCAGTAGTAAAATCTTAACTCTTAATAATTAGATCCTTCTTTTGAGGAGGTATCTGTATAGTTAATACTTTCCAGGTTATTTCCAATGTGCCACTAAATTTGAGAATCACAACTCTGTAACATATTATCATATGCAATATGCTATCACTATTCTTTTATCAGAACAACTAAAATTAAAAGGGCCCCTAAAATAGCAAGTTTTGAAAAGACTATGGATTAAATGGAACATTCATTGTGCTGGTGGGAACATAAACTGGTAAAACAACTTAGGAAACTCATTTTTCATTATTTAGTAAGTCAGGAAATATACATATGTATCCAGCTGAATGCAAGTACATGTGAATATGTATGTAAAGAATGCTTATCACATTACTTGCCATAATTCCAAATGGAAATAATTCAAATACCCATTAGCAGTAAAGCCAATAAGTAAATCATGAAATATTCCTCCAGTGATATATTATATACCCTAAAATTGATACACTATAACTTCACAATGTATTACTGAACATAAATGCCATCCGGAAGAAAATACAATTTTCTATTTAGATAAAAATTCCTAAGTGGACAAAAGTCATGATAATGGTAACCTTTGGGAAGGCTGATAGAAAAATGACAGAAAGAAGGCACAAGATGGCACTTACAGAATACTGGTAATTTTCTATTTCTTAACCTGGGTGGTGGTTTCATGAGTGTACTTACTTTGTAAAAATTCTTGACATTTGCTTTATCTTAATTGAAGTATAACATAATGATAAATTAATAAAAGATGGAAAAAATGATCCCAAAAGACACAGAAACATTATGTTCTTCTGTAGGACAATAACAATTTCATTTCTTTCCATGTCTAATTTATAACAATGAATACAATGTAATACAAACTTCAGTACAATTTATTAAACAATCAATGTTATGGATGTATTGGAAAGCTCTACGAATAACTAAGTTAACTTAGAAAAAGAATAAAACCGAAGGGTTCAAATATGTATGAATATATATATATATATTTCATTTATACTTTTTCTAAAGTCATAATTGTTTTGCCTCAACTTCTGTGACCGGCCGCAAAAAAGGAAGGCAGGAGGCAGAAAGGCTGAGCAAGCAGAGTTTACTGCTCCCGGACAGCAGCTGAGACAGAGCCCCTAGAGTGGGTTCCCCAGCTACTGCCAACTCAATAAGGGAGAAGGGTCTCTTATATAGATCCTAGGTTCACATTCCATTGACTCATTGCTGTCAATGAGGCTAGGCCCAGTTAATTATCAAACTTGGATGTGAGGTCCAGTTTGTTATCACCTTCAGCTAGTCCCATCCAGGATGCAAAGTCCCATTAATTGGATGCAAGACCCAGTTTGTTACCACCTTATCACTTTTGGATGCAAGGCCTATTACTTCCCTCATCCAGTCCCTCAGTAAATCTCCGCATTTGGTCACTCCCAACAATAATAACAAAAGCAGAGCGATTTGGAACCAACTGAGGAAAAAAAATCAATGGAATAGAGGACATATTTAAGAGATAAATTGAGACTTGAGTATTTAATTTAAAAGCAGCAAAATAAGCCAATGAGAAAGGAGTAACTATCTTAGTAAATATTACTGGAAATCAGGTTTATTGTATAGAAAATAACTAAAATTATATCCCTGTATGTCTCATAGCAAGTACCCTCCAAATGGATTAAAAAATGAAATAATAAAATCTTAAAGTTAATGTAAATATTATAAGCAAACATCTTTGTAACATGCACTCAAAGAAGGACTACATAGAGCTCACTAGTACAACTGTGAGACAAAAATGATTTGGTACTAATTGAGGAACAGAGAGATCATAACATTGTATAAGTGAAAATATGGCCTGATTAAAAATAATCCATTACAAATTAATTAGACTCCTTACTAAACTGACACCCTATAGATCTGTGCGTGTGTGGAGCTAGATCTGGTCTTCATTTTAAAATATAATAGCTAATACATACTTTTGAAGGTGAATGGGAAAATTTGACTAACTTGTTTGATCTATTTTTTTCAACAGAAGTACCTAATTCTACTTCTGCCTCAGTTCTACAACTCTTGTAACCTGAAATATATATTTCCCTAGAAAATGATTCTTTGTCTTCCATGTATTAAACTTAATTGCTTAAAGATCCTACAGTGTATATTTTATTCTTATGTTGAAGTAACATTGTAAGGTACGCACTAAGTATTCAATAATTCTAGCTAAATTGACTTTCAAGATCAATTCTTAATATTTATGTTGTGATTATTAGACATTAATTTCTATACCTCCAAACAATAATGTTATCTTTTAAGTCACTATAGAAAAACTGAGCAAAACATTGGTATTACAACATTTAGAAGTTGTTAAAATTTTGGTAAATTTCTCATTCTAAATACTGTGCTTCAAATAGTTACTGTTTCTCTATAGAAAAATTAAGTTTTGTTTTTATATTCTGTGACTACACCAAACTTCAAAGAAAAGAAATAATTCTCCATTCATGTTGACTTATTTGAAAGCCCACAAAGAAGTTTAAGAAGTTTTTTCACTAAACTTTCTAACCACCCCCACCATCCCTTATCATATTCCTTTCTCTAACATTGTTGGGTCTTTTTATCACTGTCAGTTAATTTTTCAGTTTTACGATCACTTCTTTAACAGAATACATATTTTCTATTAAAATGTCCCTCACCAGTTCCCAAGAGAATGTACCTTATACACACTTTCTAAACAACCAAGAAATTGGGGGGTGGAGGGGTGGGGTTGAGGGGGTCTTACTTACCTTCCAAATAGATGCCTGCCTGGATTTCTAGGACCCTAGGGAGGGTCCTGAGGTCGAGAGAATGGACAAATTCTTCCAGAGACATCGACATTGTTCTGAGTTGGGTACTGTAAGTAAGGCCTCTTACTTACAAGAGTGGTTGGTTTCTAGGTGTCATTTGTCTGTAGCTGCAGTAACTGCTCATCATTCCTCCCTCCAGGCAGCGAAGTCAGTAGACTCTAATTAGGCTGGAATAGCTCTAAGGAAAGAGGAAATTGAGGAGGGAGGGAGGAAGAGGGGACAAAAGGAGTTACAGCTCTTTTTGTTCTCATTGTGGCTTCATTTCCTTCTGACACTGAAGTAGAACAGAATGGGGGTGGGGTGAGCATATCAGAACAGACACTGCCCTCCCCACGCCCCCCAAAAAACAAGAGAATTAATGAGTAGCTTGCTTATTCTGTCTGTTGCCAGTCCAGGTGTGTCTTTACTGCCGGGTAAGACTGTTTGGGTTCAGCTTTTTTGTGGTTTGTGGACCAGAAAAGAACAGGAATTTAAGACTTAAGTTTAACTTTAAACATGTCACCATGTTAATTCTTTATCTCTCTAATTCATTTCTGAAGTTTGTCTTTGTGCCTTATTTGCATACTTGCAGGGCTTTTATATTAAATTTGGTTATGAAAGTGCTTTGCATCAGCTCTTTTGGGAAATCTGGTACTCAGGAGAGACGATCGAAACTACTTTTTATTCTTCCACATTAAAATTTTTGCTGAGTCTTAAAGGTGGAGGGTTGGCATAACAAAGTGATACAGTTAAGTAATATGAATTTTCTAATCACCACATGATGGTAGAAGTATCTAAATCCAGTGGGTCTTGGAATTTGGGGACTAGACGTGCTTTTCATTTATAGGGGACTGCAACTTTGTCTTCTGTGTTCCTCATTTGTCTCATTTATTAAATGGAGAAAAGGTAGAGGAGTCATATTATTCTGTTTCCAAGATGAGAATTCTGCAGTTATGATCCTGTGTTCAAAATTTAAGAGGACTGGGGTGGAGGGCAAATAACAAAAAATCAAAGGAAGCGAAGCAGGAAACAAATCTCATGAAAACAAATCTCGTAAAAATTCTCCCCCTCTCTAGTCTTTATATTTAACTGAAGCATGTTAGAGATACATAATAGTGTCTAGCTTTGAGGGTGTATAAAGGAAGGCAGGTTGTTGCAGATACAAGTGAAATAGCCTAGGAAGCTGCACCAAACTCCTTATAAACTGGACTCTAGACTCTGGTTTAGAACTGTTTTGGCCGTAAGCTGCAAAAACAAAACTAGATAGAGAGGGTCTCTTGCTTCATTATATGCAAACACTAACTAAAGCTGATACAGAGCTTACAAAACTCAGTTCTTACCATCAGATTTGACACTTGCAATATACTGTTTGGTTTCATTTCTTTTACAAAACTAAAATGTATAGGCTCACCATAGAATCTTCACCATCCTCTTTTACTTCCTCTTGTAAATTTTTGCTCAAAAAATCCCAAATTTGACCAGTCTATATCCACTTCCTAAGCTTAAGCTTCTCAATAGACTGCAGACATCTTTTTATGGCTTTAGCAGCATATTTTACAGAGTTGAGCTGAGTATGTGATGTGATAAAGGCTGCTGTGGACTGCCACTTGCAAAAATATACTCATGGAACAACTGGTGCCACAACCAATCTTGCTTGATCTCTTTGCAAATAAAACGTCACTTGATTTTTTAAATTTCCCATGTCAACTTTCTAGCTCACCAAAGAAACCATTTCAAAATACCACCAGTCTTTTACATCTATACTACACCTGCTTCTTCTCTTTCAACAAATGATCTTCATTCTTTTTTTTTTTAATTATAGTCAGTTTCTCATGTCCTCAACCCTACTTATGACAGTATCAGTCTCTCAGTTTCCCATGCAAAAGGCTACTTCATCAGAGATGCCTTCATCAGCCTCCAAATCTCTCAAGTGCTCTGCTGGCAAGACCCAATACCATTCATTCTGTTTGTGCTTGTATTCCCACTGTTACTACTTTAGTCCAGGTTATAGTGCAGGCCAAATAATTCTGATGTGGACAACCTGGATAAAATTGACAGTTAAGAGTACTGAGAAGACTTTTGAATCACAAGATATTAAAACAAGTAATTAAAGTTCAGTAATTGAAAACAGAAGATTATTGATGTAATAATTGCTTAATGGAAACTTAGAAACAAACCAAAGCGTAAATATTAATTTACTATCTGAACATCGGTAAAATTCCTCAGCAGTATGGAAGAATGTTTTATTTACCAGTTCTTAAATGATTTTTAAAATAAATTTAAATTTAAAAATTATATGCAACAATATTAAATTTAAATAATTTAAAGCTAAATTTAAGTAAAAAGAAATCAGTAGAAAACATAGAAAAAACCTAAGAGAATAAAGATTTCTATTGATAAAAATGTGAAAAACAAATATTAGACCTTAAAACAGACATGAAAATATACAGCAAATCAAAACAAAATTTCAACAACTCAAAAAAAATTGACCCTGGTGGCCCTGAAGTTAAAGCACAGCACTAAGAAGCAAAAACCAATTCAGCATGAGTTTGATCCCCGCCCCAGAGGTGACCCACATGGAGCGGCAGACCTCTGCTGACCCGCCCCCTGCTCCCCTCAGCAGTGTACTTTGACAATCTGCCTGTTCTGCTCTCCACTCTGTCTCTGGTGAATCTTCTCACCGCCCCTGCACCTCTCACCTGTACCCCAGCTCTGTATGCATAAATAAAATTAAGAAAAAAAAAAACTTCAAATAAAGAGTTAATGTCTTGCACGTATAAAGAACACTTACTAATCAATCAGCAAAATAAAAATATTCAAGGACATGTGCTTCTGACTATGAGCTTGTATCTGACCAACTCTCCTAATAAGGCCAACTCACAATGTGGATGATTTTTTAAAAATATATCGTAAGGAACAGATGAGCAGTCGGGGCATTGGGACGAGAGAGGCCAAGATCTTCCAAACTAGAGAAACACATGAGAGGAATCCAATATTCTGCCATTCTTTTTCCCTCAAGGCATTTGTGGATTAGTAATTGGCGCCAAGAGTGAGATTGAGAAGCAAAGCGAGAATTGGAGGTTTTGGAGGAGAGAAGCCAATTTCAAATAGCTAGACACAAAAATTGGGGGACAGCCAGGCATTCGGAGAAATTCAGAGAAGCGAGTTGCTCAGTACCATTTTTCCTCTTCAGGATTTTGCCCATTCAGAAGCAGTACATGGTTGATTATGAAATAGACTCTACTCAAAAAGCAATGGAAAGAAGTTGAAAGTGGCCAGCAGTCCTTTACAGCAGTCTCACATTGCAGGGAAGGTAGGTCCTGCCAAGCAGTGGGGAGCTGCTCCAGCATATGGCCACTGCGTTCAGCAGGAGCTGGTGAACGGGTGACTTGAAATGAACAACCCTTACAAACACTGATGCTCAGACTAATCAGCTCCATCACTGATTGCCCCATTTTAGTTGCCAGACAAAGGCAAAAGTCAATCCTCTGAGGAAAAGCAACCAGAATTTAATATAATGTCTAGAATTTAGTGAGAAAAAACTTAAATATGGAATTTTTGTTAGTATACTACTGAGAGGTAGCCAGGGACCCCAAACTGCTGAGGGATGCATTATCTAAAGGGGGTCCTGACATTATTACACATAAAGACAAAGGAAGCATACTCTTAGCATTACACCTCCTTCATATATTTGTCACTTGTCATTTTACAGTATTGATTACTGGTTGTTAATGGAATCTTTATTATCAAGTCATCAACAAATAGGGATAATTCTACTTTTTCTTTTTGAATCTGTATTACTTATATTTCTCCTACCTCATTGTTCTGGCTATGACTTCCAATACTGTGTTGGACAGTAGTTGTGACAGTGGACATTCATGTCATATATCCAATATTAGAGGGAAAACTTAAGTTTTTTTAATCATTGAATATGATATTAGCAGTGTGTTTGCCCTGTATGGCCTTTCTTATGTTAAACTATATTCCTTATTATTCAGGCTTTATTGTTTTATCCTGAGCAGGTGTTAACGTTTATCAAATGCTTCCTGTTACTACTGACATGATCACATTTTGGTCCTTTTTTCAATTATTGTGGTATATTACACTGACAGCTTGTTACTACTCACTAATGATGTTGTTTTTGGAGTTCGTGAGGGGTCCGTGGGTTCACTCTGGGAAAGGTTTCACCAGAGCTCCCCTTTCAGCAATACACAAGTTCCCAGGCGAGTTTCTCCCTGAGACAGACTTGGTTATAATTAAAAATGAGTAAAGGACACTTGCACAGGCACAAGTGGGCAGGCAGAGCTGCCCCAAAGGGACAGCTTTGCAAGAGAGGCCTGCATGGTCGCAGGTGGGTGGCCTTGGGAGAGCAGCCTCCCCTGAGGGAGGTCAGTGCAGAGAAACCCCAGTGTGGTACAGGTCACAGGCAGGCAGGAGGCTGCTGCCCTGTAGAGGGAATGAGTGGGTGGAAAGAAGACCTGCATAGGCACAGGTGGGCAGAGGACTGCTTCCCCAGGCCAGTGTAGAGACTGTTCTGATAAAGTCCTTTTCTCTTTGGGAGGGGCTCACTCCTGTGGAGTGGCCTGCTTGCTGCTGATTTTGGAGAACTATGTGGAAATTCACAGTCGGCCCAATCTCTGTATCTTTACCCTCAGTCTGTGCTTCTGATATTCTCTCTATTCTCTCCAGAAGTCTGATACAGGAGTCTCTGTGACTGGGTTAATGGTCATGTTAGTTCCCTCTACCCCCACCTACTTGCATGAGTCAGGTTTTAATGTCTCCTTTAGGTTTTCTGCTATTTTCCTCCATCAACTAACTATAAACTACGTAATACTGAGCTTTTGGGGAGACAAATTATTCTTTCAGTTAATTGTGATCCATCCAATTTTTCTATTTTTCCTGATTCAATCTTGGAAAGTTATATAAATGTAATAATTCTCTTCATTTACTTGAGATTATCTAATTTACTGTCACATAGATGTTTATAGTATTCTCTTAATATCCTTACACCTGTTATAATGTTTCCTTTTTCATTATTCATTAGCATTTTCT